GTTACTGGTATTTGGCATATTGGGTACGCCACGGGGAGTTTGCCAGACTCTGGGAGCTGAGTGTGATAATCTCTGGATCCTGGCCATTGTTGGGGTTACACAGCAGTTGGTGGGTGTAACTGTCTAGCTACTGGCAGGTCCAGTCCCAAACTGTGCAGGCTTGGAGATCCCAGCCCCAGGTCCCACACACCTGGGTTCCTCTGCCAGTTCTTTTATGCGTGAGGCTCATCCAAGTGTGTGGAGAGTGGTCCCAGCATGGCCGTGGCTGGGGCCCGGAGGTCTTCAGCCGTTGGGCCTGGTGGGGACAGTCAGGCACAGGGTAGGATTTATTTACATGTGGATTATGTAAAAAAAACATCGTACTTTTCTCTTTAACTTGTGTTTGTGGTACCAAGGATTCAAACTAAGATCTAATACACACAAGGCAAGTGCGCTTATGCTGAGATATATCCTTTACCCTATCCACACTTTTCTTATTGAGCAGTTGTGAGAGAAGGCAGGAAAAAAAAAAGAGAAGGGGGGGTGGAGTTTATTAAGTTCGTGGATTTTGATTATGACTCAAAGAAGACACAATTATAATTCGTTATACAGAAGAAGAATACTACATATGTTTTAGATACTTCTAATTTTTTTCTTTTTAGTTTTTTCTGTCACACCCAGCTTTCTCAGGATTTAGTATGGGCTCTATGCTCAAGGATCATTCCTTAGAGGACCATATGTGGTATTAGGGATATAACCCAGGTAAGCAGAATAACACATCTTACCTGCTGTGCTATTTCTCCAACCCCACTAATTTTCTTACTAATCTAAAATATAGAATACACTACTTATTCTGAGAATTTCTCATCACTTAGATCCAATAATAAATGTCTTGCAACTTCAAGTCTGAATATCTTATTAAAGTATTACTTCTGACATTAATAATTCTACAACTTATATTTTAATCATAAAACTCACTAACCACAACAAATTCTAAATTCTACTCTACAGGTCATAAGATTTCTCTAAAGGATCAAAAAAAAACACTTAAAAATTGTTTTAAAGGGGCTGGAGCAATAGCACAGTGGGTAGGGCGTTTGCCTTGTACACAGCCAACCTAGGTTTGATTCCCGGCATCCCATAGGGTCCCCCGAGCAGGGTCAGCAGTAATTCCTGAGTGCATGAACTAAGAGTAACTCCTGTGCATCGCTAGGTGTGATCCAAAAAGAAAAAAAAAATGTTTTAAAGCCTATTCTTACTACACTTCCTATTCTAAATGGGGAGTAGGGGGAATCTATTCAGGGATGAAGACAAAGATCTCAATAATTGAAGATAATTTTTTCATTTTCATTTCATCATCCTGTTATTCGTCGATTGCCTCGAGCAGGCCCCAGTAACGTCTCTTTCATCCTAGCCCTGAGACTATATTCAAGGCTCTTTAGGAGAATGAGACCCATCATTGTTACTGGTATTTGGCATATTTGGTACGCCACGGGGAGTTTGCCAGACTCTGCCCTGTGGGCAGGCTACATTCGATAGCCTGCAAGTTTGTCCAAAGTAGGAATGAGACAATAAGATGTCATAAAAAAAAAAAGTTCTGATAAGATGTCGCGCGGCCGCAAATGTGGCTGTGCGATTCCGGGATCTGGATTTTATAGTCTCTGAGTCTTGGCCGCTGATGGGATTACACGGCGCTAGGGGGCCAGGTGGTGGGTGTGACCCCCGCCTACTGGAATTTGGAGGATCTGGGTGGAAGATGCTCGACTCCAATCCGAGTAGGCTTGGAGGTCTCGGCCCCGGAACCCGCGTGGCTTTGTCCCTCTGCCAGTACCTTCATGTGTGCGGAGAGTGGTCTCAGCATGGTGGTGACCTCCAGGACCAGCCACCACCATTGAAGATAATAAAGATGAATAATTCTGTAGATTGATAATAGATTAATTTACTGCCTATGCGCATAAGAATACAAATAATACATTTGCTTATGTGCAAACTCGAGTATAAAATTTAAAGCAAGTGTTATTGTATAGATTTATCTCAAATATGTAAGAGAAAAATACAACTAGGAGTACCTACAGAATCTATCGACAATCGCAATTAGCAGAACACCAAAAGCTAAATAAACTTATACACTAGTGTGTTGGTATTTCTTTTTAAGTTTAATAGACAGATTGATGGCAGTAGTTTGAAAACAATATCCTTGTAAATTTGGGGGAGCTGCTTTTTGTGCATCATCATAAATGTGATTGTTAACAATGCAAAAGTACAGTTTGCCCTCAATCTTGAAAGTTATACATGAAAGGATGGACAGTGCACGTTACATGTAATTAGGAAAAATGTGTAAAAAAAATCAACAAAATAAAACACTGACTATTCAAGACAATGATTTCAAGAACAAAAGCACTTGCTGATTTAGAATATTACTGTTTAAAAGGTAAAGGCTTTAGGCCCAAAGAACAGCTGAGTGACTCAGAAAAAGTGTCCTGTAGGGTCAGTGAAGAAAAGTGAAAATATGTCAAGAAGTAAATACATTTCAGATCAGTCTGGGCTGCCACAGTTACCCTGAGGTGCTCACAAATCCCACCTGGAGGACTCGCATCCTTATAAAAAGTTGACTCTCACAGTGGTCCACAGTATGGAACATGGTCATGTGGCTTTCTTTGTCCAACAGGATATCAGCAAATATGTCAAAATGCACTTGAGGAACTATGTGTACATTGGGGTTTAGCCCCTAGGAATGCAATGAACACACTAGGACAGTCCCAGGATCTATGGCTCAGAAGAGGTCATAAGGAAGAGAGCTGCCCTACTGCCCAAGTTCTCTCTACACTACCATACTAGGCCACCCAGATTGGTTGATCCACTGTATTTACATAAGTCTCCCTGGGAAAAATATCTTATGAATCACCCAACCGAGTTAAGCATTTAGAACTATGACAACAGAAATGTTTATTCAAGTTACTATGATTTGGGATGGTTTGTCAGATGCAATAGGTATTTCTATATCACTGTTGTTCCACTGTTCATTGATTTACTTGAGCGGGCACAAGTAACATCTCCATTCTCCCAGCCCTGAGATTTTAGCAGCCTCTCCTTATTTGTCTTTCCCAGCACTGCCATATTGGAGGCTCTTTTAGGGTTAGGGGATTGAGCCTGTTATTATTTTTGACATATTGAGTACGCTACGGTAGCTTCCCAGGCTCTGCCATGCAAGAAGAAAATAGTGTGCTGCTTGCTCTCTTTCAGGAGCTCTTTGTTTTATAGTTTCTGGATCTTGGCTGTTGATGAGATTACAGGGCGCCGGGGACAGTTTGTGGGTATGACTACCAAGCTACTGGAAAACTGGGGGTCCGGGTGGAGGAGGCCCAGCTCCGATCTGAGCAAGCTTGGAGATCTCAACCATGGCTCCCGCATACATGGGTTCCTGTGCCAGTTCCTTCATGCATGAGGTTCATCCAAGTGTGTGGAGAGTAGCCCTGAGCATGCCTGTGGCTGGGTTCTGGAGATTTTTGGCTGCCTGGGTTCTCCTTGGGGCAGGAAGGGAAACTCAACCCACCCCACTCCAAGGGGCCCCAGTGAAGAAAGCCTGGCATGGGGGCAGGAGATTCTGAAATGTTTATTCAAGTCACTATGATTTGGGATGGTTTGTCAAATGTAATAGGTACCTAATATATTCATTGACCTGGTAAGATAAACATTTGCTACTTTTGACATTAAAATCAGTAAATGAAGACTAGAAATGTGCTAGGAACTATGAATTAAAAACAGGTACCCCTGCTTTTTCCCCCAGGACAGCAAGAGGGCAGACGCCTTGGAGCTTTTTGGAAAGCCAGGTATGAGCCGGTGGTGATGGGGCAACTGAAACCTCATGAGAAGGGGGGCGTTCCCGGCTCATCCTTCATGACCTACCAAGGTCATTAGTTGCCCCCCACAAGCAGCTCTCCAGCATGGCCATGACTCCAGGAACACAAGGACTTAATGCAGAGCATGGCAGCTTACGGCAGAGAAGTGAATGGACTATGCGTTAATCCACGGCACCATGCCTGCCCAGGAGGGCAATGGTGTTGCTCCCTTCCGCCTTTTTCCCCCGGACAGCAAGATGGCGGCCACCTTGGAGATTTTTGGAGAGGCAAGTATGAGCCAGTGGTGATGGGGCAACTGAAACCTCATGAGAAGAGGGGTGTTCCTGGCTCGTCCTTCACGCCCTACCGAGGTCATGAGTTGTCCCTCACAAACAGCTCTCCGGCATGGCCATGGCTCCAGAGCCACAAAAACCAATTTCATAATTATCTGACTCTCGGCAGAAATACTTCCAGGCTTAATAAGTAAAATATCAAAAATCCAAAATCGCAGGGCGCTATTGCGGCCACCATCATTTGGTTCTTGTAACCAGCTGTAGAAAACAAATTATTTCACAATGCCTCCTCAGCAGGTCTGATTTTAGGGTGTATACTCTAAATAATAATGGTGCATCTTTTGTCGAAACAATGGATCAAATCATGTAGATAGAGTGTTAACTAGAATTCATCTGCCTCACAGGCATTGGAAGGGGTGGAGGGGGGTATATTGGGGTTCTTGGTGGTTAAAAAAAAAGTACTGATGAAGGGAAATGTGTTTGATGATTGCATGACCAAGACTTAAACCTGAAAGCTTTGTAACTTTCCCCACAGTGATTCAATAAAATAAATAAACAAACAAATAAATAAATCAATAAAACAGGTACCCATGTTTTTAATGGTAAATAAAATAGCATAAGCAAAATAGTGGAATCAGAGAGAAAATTTTAAGATTAAATGTCAAACATAGGGACTGTTCGATAGCACAAAGGGTAGGGCGTTTGCTTTGCATGCAGCCGACCAAGGTTCGATTCCCAGCATCCCATATGGTCCCCCAAAAACCGCCAGGAGTAATTCCTGAGTGCATGAGCCAGGAGTAACTGCTGTACAAAGCCGGGTATAACCCAAAAAGCAAAAAAAAAAAAAAAAAAAAAGTCAAATATATATATATATATATATTTTACTTACTGAAACATGATCTTCTGTGAAGTATATGTTGGAAAATCTTGCACGTGGATTCTTCACTTTGAGTAATGGCTCTACAGGTGCACTGCACTTGAAGGATTGTCCCGAGAGTTCCAATAAAAGCAGCTTTGCAGTCATCACTTCCCGAGCAGCTGAGATCTTGCTTGTTTAAGGTACTGATACAGATCTCATCTTCATAACACTGTCTTGTCACATTCGGCCAGCATTTTGACTGGAATACTCTGTAGCGCTGCCTAGAAAATGACAAGGCATAGAATTAGCCTTTGAAAAATATTATTTCACATTCACATGTGGCTATCTTACCTAATGAAAGACTAAGGTAAGCAAATGCCTCAGGGACGTCAGTACATAGTTGAAAATGAAAATCAGATTCGTTCATTCGATCATCCAAACATCTTGATAGAAGGTGTGAAAGAAAAAGTGAGAGCATAATTTTGTATGTTATTTTCTTTAGGTGATAATGAAGGAGAGGCTAAGTTAAGGATAACAGGATGAATTTTATGACTTTTTTCTTTTTTGATGAAATGAGATAGTTTCTATTGAACAAAATCTGTTTGGAAAGGTGTGAGTGGAGTGGAAGGAGTGGGGACTTCTCTGGAACAGAAGAGGCAGAGACCCACAAGGACAGGTGAGTGTGTGTGGATGGGAGCTGGAACTGGAGGACATGTCTCTTTGCTTCCACGTTTTATTTGCACAGATGATGGGTGTCCTGGCTGTCCTCAACAGGGCCCCTTGGAGGAGGGTGGGTTGAGTTTCCCTTTCCACCTCGAGCAGAGCCTCAGCAGCTGAAGACCTCCGGTTCCAGCCACCACCATGCTTAAGACTATTCTCCACATGTTCGGATGAGCCTCATGCATGAAGGAACGGGCAGGGGAACCCAGGTGTGCAGGCTTGGTGATCTACCCAGGGCGTAGATCACCAAGCCTGCTCAGATTGGGACTGGGCCTCTTTCACCCATATTCCCCATCTTCCAGTATGTAGGCATTACACCCACCAACTGCCCCAGCACTGTGTAATCCCATCAATGGCCAAGAACGAGAGATTATAAAACTCAGTTCCTGGAATGCGGCCGCACGGCATCTTATTATCTAGTTCTTACTCTGGAGAACCTGGAAGGCTACCAAAAGTATCCGGCCCTCACGGCAGAGTCTGGCAAACTCTCCGTGGCATGTTCAATATGCCAAAAACCAGTAACAATGATGGGTCTCATTCTCCTGACCCTCAAAGAGCCTCGAATGTGGCACTTTCTAAACTCCTAGGGCTAGGACAAAGGAGACATTACTGGCGGCTGCTCGAGGAAATCGATGAACAACAGGATGACAGTGATACAGTGATGGTTTACATTTTTAGCCACTTGGGGATTTATTAGAATTGGTTTTTAAAGAAAATGTGACTTTGAGGACTCTTCTTTACTCAGGAGATTTAGATAAGTTTCTTGAACTTCTGAGTCAGTTTTCCCTGAGGGTGAAAGGCGTGGGGTTGTTCCATGCCATTTCTAAGCAGACTAATTAGAATTACAAATACTTTGAGGTTCTCTGGCATTTAGAACTAATTTAGTACAAAACAGTATGAGTTTGTTTAGTGGCCAAGAGGGCCATTAGGACTGCATCAATTCATAACTTTTCTGAGTACCTATTTGAACTTTATTCTAGCCCAGATAATGAAGTCTCCCCACACCAACACCCCTCACCTCTACCTGCTCACCCCTTTCACATCTCTAAGGCCCTGTGTCCACCGAAAGCTCCTGGCTTTCAGGTGAGGAGGGGTCCCTCTTTCCTTGTTCTCCGCTGGCTCATGAGACTGGTCACCAATCTCTCTGTATCAAAGTTTCACACCTGCTTTCTAGCTTCACAGTGGCCTGGCATCCTCCACAGCTTGCCATTCCTTCAACCAGTATCTCTCCTCTTCACACCTCATATGCACACACTTATCTCTCTTATGCTAAACCTACAGATTTGGGGTGAATTCTAGTTGCTGCCAAACACTTCATGAAATTAATACCCTTTTCCCATTTCCATCCACCTCTTCCACATAAATTTTCTCAAAGGCAGCAGTGGTGGTTAGAAATGATCAAGTCTTAAATTGTAGCCAGAGAAATGGAGGGCTACAAATTCATTGAAAGTAGCCCCATAATCCACATAGGGCTTCCCAATCAAGAAGTAAAAGAAGCAAAAATGTCACTGGGAGAGAATCGGCAGGGAAGGCAAAGGTCAACACAACCTAATCCTTCAGAGCTCTCTCAGGGAAAAACACAGCAAAGAGATGAGGAAGTCACACAAAAGCCCACCAAGCTCAACACATGGACTGGCAACAATAACTGGAAGCTTCTATCAGTATTACCCAGCAGTATAACTTCCCAGAAGTTGACTATAGAGACACTGTGATGCAGATTTTAATGAGCTCAAAGAAAAAATGTACAAGCAAAAAACAAGAAAAAATGAGAACTAAAATGTGAGAATCACAATCAGAAGTGATAGAGTTTAGGAGTATGGTAGGTAAAGAAAATAAAAAAAATATAGTGGAACTCTTTATGAAAATTCCAAACAGACAAGATGGAATTTAAGTGTATGAATAAAATAAATATAATAAGAAGTGATGTGAAAAACTACAAACAGAATACAAACAGAAGTGATAGAACTTAAGAGTATTGTTTTAAAAAACTGAGTGGAAAGTTTTAGTAACATAAGAACAACAGATGAAGAAAAGATCCATGAGTTTCAAAATGAGATGCAGGAAGCCGATATAAAACAAAAGAAGGTGAAAAACTTTGAAATTAAATTAAAAATACTACACCAGGAATGAATGTAAGGGAACAATTCAAGTATCATCAATGACTGGCATGCTAAATAATAACTGAATTTCCCAGAGTTGAGGGATTCATGTACCCAAATTCAAGAGATCAGAATGGTCCTAGCCCAAAAAATCCAAGACATACTGTAATCAGAATGACAGAAGCCAAAGAGAATATTGAAAGCATCTTAAGATTCATAGCAGATCTGGTAAGTAAAATTTAATAGGCCACGAGAAAATGGAGAAATAGAAAGGAAGAAAGAAAGAAAGAAAGAAAGAAAGAAAGAAAGAAAGAGAGAGAAAGAAAGAAAGGAAGAAGGAAAGAAAAAAGGAAGAAAGAAAGAAAAAAAGAAAGAAAGAAAGAAAGAAAGAAAGAAAGAAAGAGAAAGAAAGTAAGAAAGAAAGAGAGAAAGAAAGAAAGGAAGGAAGAAGGAAAGAAAAAAGGAAGAAAGGAAGGAAGAAAGAAAGAAAGAAAGAAAGAAAGAAATGAAGGAAGAAAGAGAGAGAGAAAGAGAGAGAGAACGAAAGAGAGAGAGGGAGGAAGGGAGGGAGGGAGCGACGGAGGGAGAAAGAAATGAACAATTTGCCAAGAATATTCTATTCAACTACCTCTATTCAACTACCTCCACTACCCAGCTGCCACCAATTTCCAGGCCGCTTTCCGGATGCTCAGGCCAAGACTCACTCACGAGTGAAGTCCCACAGAACCAGATAAGCGGAACTCTGCGACCTTGGACTCCTGGCTCAACGGACCTGGGAACAGAGATCCTCTGTCTGCTCCCCACAATCTCTGGTGATCCAGAGATTAAACCCAAAGCACTACCCTACCCAGTCCTGCCTGCTTCCACCAATCTTCAGCAACCCAGGGATTAAACACAGAAGTCCCATCCTACTGGTACCAGATAAATACCTCATCAGCAGAACTCCACTACCTCCACTACCCAGCCGCCGCCACGCTCCAGGCCGCATTCCAGACACATCATAAGACACATAATACCCTTCTTCCCAGATTACCGCACCATATTTGGTGGGGTTCAAATATGGTTTGAACCATAGGAAAACCTGCGAGGGTGATTAGAGACCACCCTAAAGTCCCTCTCAGAGAGCCTGGATGGAAAGCTACCGAGAGTATCCCACCCACACGGCAAAGCCTGGCAAGATATCCGTGGCATATTCAATATGCAAAATCCAGTAAATACAATGGGTCTCATTCCCTGAACCCTGAAAGAGCCACCAATACAGCAGTCTTAAGAAGGATGAGGAAAGAGAGGCTGATAAAATCTCAAGGCCGAACTGGGCTGCCAAAATGAAGAAGGACAAAAATGATTGTTTGTACTTTCAATGCACATATGCTGGCATCGGATGCATCCATCGAGGACCTGATGGTACAAGCACGAAACATCAAGTATGGCATCATTGGATCATTGGTCTGACCAGGATGAGAAGCCATTGATCACATCATGCCATTTTCGACACTGGAGAAGAACCGTTCTTTTGAACATGCAACAAAAGAGGCGTCGGAGGTGTCGGTGTCCTTGTCAACATGAACTTGGCCATGAGCATTGATTCATTCAAATGCCTAACAACTCGAATCGGACAATTACACTTAAATAGATGTGACTCACTGCCGGCAGTTTCTATCTTCGTTGTCTATGCATCAACATCCAATTATAATGAAGAAGAAATGGAGAAGTTCTACATGGAGCTGGAGAAGTTCTACAAAGAAGACCACACCTTCTAAAAGATCATTGTTGGTGATTTTAATGCCAAGAGAGGACCAAAAAGATCAGGCGAACAACTCCACACTGGGACCCCTGGCCTAGAATGGAAAGAACAGGGTGAGAGAAGATCTGAGTTCATCACATTGACCAAGACCATCCATGGTAACTCACAGTTCCAGAAGGCCAAATCTAAATGTTAGACATGGGAGTCAACCGGTGGATGGTTCCACAATGAAATTGACCACATCATATTCAATCGACGGTTTTGCCTGAACAATGTCACTGTTGTCCCAAAATTCCAAACGGGATTGAACCACCATCTCCTTCATGCAAAATTCTACTTCACAGAGTGGGGAGAAAGTGCTGCAAAATTTAAGAAGAGAACTACCAGAACGGCCACTAACTGGGAGCTCTTTTCACTATTGCAACAACATGGGAAGATGCTGTCATTAACAACATTGATGAGGAATACAATCAATTGGTTAAGCACCTCCATAATTGTGCGATGAACATCAAGAGAGGAACACAAAAAGACACATCTCTTTGAAAACTCTTGAGCTCATTTGCCAACGTGGCTTGGTGTGCACCTCAGTCAACCACAAGCGAATGTTGAGCTCGCAAAGCAGTGCAAAGAAGCAATAAAGAAAGACCTCAAAGAGAGAAGAGCAGCAGTCCTGGCAGATGCGGCAGAAACTGGAAAAAGCATTTGCAATGACCACCTG